AAAAAAAAAAAAAAAAAACATCCACCTGGAAGCATTGTTAAAATGATTACATTACCTAATGTCTTTGGGAGGTCGGTTTACAGAAGTTTATTAAATTATCCACCTATGTTGCTGTCTTCTCAAGTCTGGCAAGCCTAGGTTGTACCCCACCCTTAACGCACCTTGGGTCTTGAGTGAGGTATCTCCTTTCCAGGTCTCAGTCTCCTACACACTTCACCCTGCAGACCGTAGCTCCTACCCCCAAGGATGGCTGGAAGTTTAAGGTAGATTATGGAAAGTGCTTTGCTTTAGTGGATACTCAGGAAATACGGCTTTGGCTGAGTAGGATTCTTGGCTCTTGGCTTTGCTTGAACTGAGGGGCTGGTGACTCACCTCCTGACCCAGGTACCTGCAGATAGCCAGTGTGGTAGAAATGTGGCAGGCCCAGGAAGAAGCCCTGGTGCAGGTTCAGTAATGCCTGCTTCCAATCCAGGGCTGGGATTGGGTGTGTATCAGCCCCAGAGCCCAAGTGCCCTTCACTAAACCTAAGCTTGATGTTCAGTGGGTTTGGGATTCCATGCCTGCCTCTGTGACTTGCGCATCCCCAGGCCAGTCCCCTACTCTGGGCTTTAGCTCATGTACCTCTAGAATGGGGCTAACAGCACTTTGGATAAACTGTTATCATGAGTGTGTGTGGGAAACCCATGGAACACAGTGGGTACTCAATAAATGTTAGCTGGTTGTTTTTACCTCTGGTCAGACCTGAGTTCACCTCGAATCTGCCACTTACTAGCTGTTGACCTTGAGTGGACCCATGGCCTCCTCTGAGCTTCAGTTCCCCCATCTGCAAACTGGGTAACATTTTATTTTCCACCAGAGGCTATAAGGACAGCTAGTCCGTAACCCAATTAAGATTACAAAGTAGGCTTTCTGTGCAAGACTTTTCTGACACTTATTTTGAGCACCTGCTACCTGCTGGTCACTTTGCTAAGCTCCTTACAGGACACATTCCTGTTTAAACTCTAATCTCATCCAGAGAAGTTTTCTAGTCCCATTTTACAGATGGACAATCAGGACCAGCCCCAGTCTCCCCACAGCGCAGCCACCCCACCCTGCTCGCTTCTTGGGCGGTCTGTTGGGGCGGGGGCACGGCACCTGGAACCCCAGGGAGACCCCCATCTCCTGCTCTCACAGCCCGACCACGCCCTTCCCAGAGGGAGGCCCCTTACCTGCCTGGGCTCCTCCAGCGCCCCGACGCTTGCGCGTCTGTCCCCGAAGGCGCGGAGGCTGGGGAACCGCTGTGCGTGCCTGGGCTTGCTGCCCCTCAGCCCTTCCGCGCCTTGCTTCTGCCTGAGGCCCCGCGGCCCCCCGCCTTACTTGTGTTCCTCTGTCCCTCGCGGCTAAGGCCGCATCGATCGCTGCCGGGGAAGGGAGGGAGGCTGCGGACTGCCGGAGGCTGTGGTTTCTATTCCTGACTCCTGTAGGGGGTGGAGATGTCTGGAGACTGCCTAACAGCCGGGCATCCCCCCAATTCAGGGACCTGAGAAGATGGGTAATTTAAGGGAACGGGAGCCTTTCTAGAGAGGGGCATCATCCTGTGGCCCGGGGCAGGTAATAATGGTTTGCTTAATTGAATGTTTAATACATACCAAGCAGGGTTTCAGGAGCTGTCTTCCCAGAGACCACTGTGGTGAGGATAGGCTCTTCCGTTGTGCGTCTTACACGCGAGGCCCAGAAGCTTGCTCAGACTGCAGGGATCTGAATCTGGGAGCTGAGGGAGGCAGTGTCTGAGCCGGCTCAAGTCTTACTCTTCCTGGGCCCCTGAGGCTCAGGGTCCTTCCCTGCCCGTGGAGGGCTGATTCCCACCTTCAAGTGAGTGGTGAGGGTTAGGGGAAAAGAACTTCTCAAACACTGCGTGATCTGCAAGCATTTAAATGGCAGCTGTGTGCCGGTTGGGGAGAAAGTGTGGAAGACCAGAACCTGGATTGACAGGAGACTTTACAAGTAATGTTATGAAGAGCAATGATAGTTACCAACATTGATGGAGTGCTTACTTTGGGTCAAGTACAGCCCTCGTATGATTCACAGGTGTATCTGTGAGACACGTAAGGTAAGGTTTGAGAACTGCGACTGCCCAGGCTCATGTGGTAGAGTGGTGAGCAAGCTGCCTTCCAGAGTCAGAGGCTGACTTCTGAGAGCCCTATGCCTGTCCTGTCCAATAGATAATAAGCGCCACCTATGTGCTTAGAAATTTCTCATAACAGCAACATTTTTTAAAAAGTAAAATGAAATAATAATAATATATTTAACTTAACCCAATGTATCCAAAATGTTATAACTTGAACATGAAACCATAAACCATTAAGGAGGTATTGCGTGTTTATTTTTATGCTAGGTCTATGAAATCCAATACACTAGTTTTTTTTATTGCCACAATGTAACAGCTTTTAACAATAGAGATTACCACAGTGTAGTAGCTTCTAACAGTACAGATTTATTCTCTCAGTACGTCAGAAGTCTGGGCACAGCTTGGTTAGATTTTCCACTAGTGAGGGTCTTTCCAGGCTAGGGCTAAGGTGTTATCTAGGGTTGAAGTTTTGCTCTGGAGTTTGGGGCTATCTTCCAAACTCACACATTTATGGCAGAATTCGTTTCCTTATGGTTATAGGACTGAGGCCTCTTTCTGTTGCTAGCTGTCTGCTGGCCACCAGTAGCAGAGCCTGGAAATCACCTGCACTTCCTTGCCTTGTGACACAGTTCCATAGACATTTCATGACATAGATGGATGCTCGCTTGCTTTCAGGGAAGCCTGAGTGCTGACTTCTTTTTCTGTAACCAACCAGACAAAAATGTTTCTTTCTAAAGGCCCACCTAATTTTCACGCCCATCACGGCAGTCTCCCTCATGGGGTAGAACATGCATTTATGGTGTTCCACTTACATAAGGAGGAGATTATATATAGAGAGGTGAGGGTCATTGGGATTGTTTTAGAATTCTGCCTACCCCACCTAGATACAGCAAATCTCAGTTTGGACTGGTTGTATTTCATGTGCTCAATAGCCACATGCGGCCAGTGGCTGCCGTACTGAACAACACCGCTAGAGCGTTGTGCCCGTTCATTTTTTCCCTCAGCATGTTAGAACAGGATTGCCTTGCTCAGTGATCCTCTTGCCCAATTCCCTGATTTTACCTTCAGGGAAACTGAGGTAGATCTGCAGAGAAGCAGATCTTCCATTTCTTGATCTAGGACTGTGAAGGCTTCACTATCCTCAAAACTCAAGAGCTCTCCTTGGAGCTGGAGAGGTGGTTTCTGAAAAGAGAAAGACAAATCTATTTCCCAAGGGCAGAAAAGAATGCAACCAGGATCAGGTTTCACCCTCAGGTTGTGTTGTAAAAGGTAACCCAATTTTGGATAAATTCATGAGCAGTAGGAGTGAGGAGATGGGCTTTATGGGTCTCTGGGGCTAAAAGGGTATCTCTGTCCTCTGCATACAGTGGATAGGCTGTTCCTCAAATTCTCCGTCTCCAGCCAAAAATGAAATCCATGCAGTTTTACCTACAGAGTAAGCTTGATGTGGTGGAAAATGTAGAAAGTTTTGCAATAAAGTGAGTGTGGTGGGCAACTTATAAAAATTCTCCCAGTAATGTCTGCCTCCTGGTATTTATGCCTTTGTGTCATTTTCCCCTCTTGAGCTGTGGGCAGGGCCCTGGTTTGACTGTAATGAAGAGAACAGGGGAAGACAGGTCACTTCCGAGATCAGGTTACCTAAGGCTGTGACTTCACTGGTTTTGATGAAGCAAGTTGTCATGCTAGAAGGGCAAGGAAGTGAAGCTGACTTCCAGTCAGTCAACTGCCAGCGAAGGACTGTGGTATTTCATCCATCAGCCCTCAAGGAGCTGAAATTCTGCCAGTGACTATGTGAACTCGAAGTGGAGCCTTCTCTAATTGAGGCTCAGAGGAGACTCCTACCCTTGCGGACACCTTGACTGCAGCCTCGTGAAATAGAGACCCTGAAACCAAAGTGCCCAGGTTCCCCATGGAAACCATAAGATAATAGATGTGTGTTGGCGCATGCCTGCAATCCCAGCTCCTCAGAGGGCTGAGATGGGAGAATCACAGCTTTCAGTGGCTGATTTTCAAAAACCATAAAAACAAAAAATGAAAACAAAAACAAAACAAAAAAAACTAGGATTCGGTGCTAGAACACTTGCCTATCATACGTGAGGCTCTTGGTTCAATCACTAGTATCACAAAAATTTAAAAAAGTAAACATGGGCTGTTTTAAAGCTACTACATTTGTGTAACTTGTTACATAGCAAGAGGTAACGAATACATGGGGTTTAACTCGTGTCTTTCCACTAAATTCCTGTGTGACTTTGGGCCAAGAGTCTCTTCCTGATCATGTATCTCCCTCATCTGTGAAATGAAATAAGCTTGCTCTTTCAGGAGGGGCGGATTAGCACATGCTGTTCCCTCTCCGTGAATAACTCTTCTTGCCCTTTCTTTACCCTGAGTATCAGGTAGAATTTAATTTAGCTGTGGGAATAGAAATAGAATAGAAATGGATTTATAGCAGCTTCACCAGAGAAAAATATCTTTTTTTTCTGTAGGCCTGGATGGATGACACCTTTTGCAGGAAGCTTTATCTGGTTTCCAGGCTGTTAGGTCCCTTCTGGCCTCCTGTAGCCTCCTAGTTCTCTCCCGTCTGGTGAATGTCACGCAGCTCCCTAGCTTGGGTGTCAACTCATCCGTAAGAGCAGGAGCTCTGTGAAGGCACAGGCTGGAGGCCAATGTTAAGTGCTTAGCAAACATTTATTGAATAGATGAGGGAGAAAACGAGGTTGGAGTTTGCAAAAGGAATCAGTGTTCAGCTCCCCAGGAGAATTTCCAGGAGGGTGATGGAGACAGACAATGCATTTGGAGCAGAATGGGTTGGAATTTGGTGGCTGAGGACAGAGCTGGCATGGTACAGACCCTATGGAACAGGTAGGGAGTTCAACAGGAAGCTGAGCGAGTGGACCATGTAGATGCTCTAACCCATAGAAGCCTCAACTGTAGCTTGCCACATCCTGCCACCTAGCTAGGGACCTAGCAGAACTTAGAGCCCCAACACAGCCATGGGGCCCTTAACAGCTAAGTTTTAACTAATTCACCTGGAAGTTTCCTGTGGAGATGCCTGAGTTTTCCTCTTCATGCCCTTCAGGAAGGAAATCTGGGGCAATAAGCTGTGCACCCACAGGCTTGGGTTCCAGCTGTCTGAAACTGAGCCTGCATAGGGCTTTCAGAGCCCTATTTTTGAGATGTGGAAATTGAGTTGTTAAAGCTGGAAAAAGATCTCCAAAAACCTAGTGTAACTGGTATAGTTAATAAGAATATGGAGTTTGGGGTCAGGCTATCTGAGGTATCCTAGTTTTGCTACTTGTAAGTTGTATGACTTTGGCCAAACTAACCTCTTTTTGCCTCAGTTTCCCTCCTGTGTGAAATGGGGAACAATAATAAAACCTATGTAGTGAGGCTATGAGGATTTAATGAAGTTATACATGTAAATAGTGAAAGGAATGCCTGGTGTGGGATCGCTGTCCTGTAATGGTGAGCTCTTTGGTTTGGTTAGTATTTACGCAGGAATACTGTATAATTTTATCCTGGCTTCATCGCTTCTCAGCAGGAGGTCCTGAGCCAACACTTGTTTCAAGGCCACTATTGCTCCACTGTGAATTTGAATAACAATCCCAGGGCGGTGGGGTGAGTGGACCGATGATGTTTCATAGTGGGAGGTGTAAGGTGGTGGTTAACTGTGGACTAATAATCAACATCTGCATTAGTCAGGCACTTACTGTGATAAATGTATGACCCGCAGCTCCAGCTCTCCAAGGCTTCTTACCACAAGTGTATATTTCTCTCTTGCAAATCTGAGGCTTGGCTGGGATAGCTCAGCATCAAGGGCTACCCTGTGTCTCTCCCAGGCTGTGACCAGCGGATTCTGAGCAGGCCCTTCTTGAGGCAGAGGCTGAGTCTCCGAGGAAGCTGCTGACTGGCATCCTGTCACCCATTAGCTCGGGCAAGTTCTTAGTCATCACTAGGGGCAGGGATACACACATTCCTCTAGGAGGCATGCAAGGGAAGGGGCAATTATGGGCAAAGAATAAAGTCCTCTGCATTATCTGTGAACTCCCGAGGTTATAGACGGGGGAAACCGAGGCCCAGGGGAGTTAAAGAAATATCCAAATTCACAGGTAGTCAGTGACTCCTGGAGAGCCCTCTCTTCCTCTCCAGGGTTCACCCTGTCTCCATTTAATTAGCATTTGCTACTCTGAGTCAACCCTTCAGGCATTTGAATCCCCTGAGAAGGATGTTGGCAGCTAGGGAGGAAGTGGGGTCCTTTTCATCTCCCAGCAGTGTAAACAGAAGCCTGGAGTGGTGAAGGACTCCACACTTGATCTTAGCCAAAAGGCCGAGAAGCGATGTGGTGAAGGACTCAAGTGGAATCACAGCACAAGGTCAAGAGAAGAGGAGAAGATGGCTCAGGACTTCCAAGTTCATCTCCACAGTTAACCGTACAACACTTGAGTCTATAGCAGAACAAAGAAAGAGCGGGGAGTGTGCTTGCTTCTTTCCCTTCCCAAAGCAAGTTCTGGTGGGGACAGTGAGGAATGAGGGTCTGAGATGTCTTTTTTTCTTTTTCTTTTTTTTTTGGTCTTTTTGAGACAGGGTCTCGCTATGCAGTTCAGGCTGGCCTTGAGCTCACTTTTTAGCCCAGGCAGGTCTCCCAACTCACAATGATCTTCCTGCCTCAGCCTCCCGAGTGCTGGGATTATAGGTGTTTGCCGCCACACACCCGACGGGGATGTCTTTGGAATGTTTGTCATTCCTTCACCGATCCTTGTCCCAAAAAGAAACACTTATTAGCCCTGACCACAGACTGTGCCCTGGGGGAACTGAGGCAAGTGAGGTGTAGCCCAATAGTGAGGACAGACTCACCATTAACATGGCATCCCAGCTGCTCAAACATTTCCCAAACTGTGGTTGCAGTCCAAAATGATCCTGGTGAGTATTTGGATGAAACATTATACAACACTGACTCTTGGAGTGAGACAGTTATTCTCTTTTCCATCCCGATTACGTCAGGGAGAAGTCCCAGTTCAGAGCTCTGCATCTTTGATATCTCTTTAACCCTTGCTAATCTCCATTTATTAAAAAAGAGAGAGAGAGAGAGAGAGAGAGAGAGAGAGAGAGAGGGAGCAAGCTTCAGGCTATCTTGGCACATGGCCTCATCTAGCTAGAGTTTAATAATATTTAATTGGATATGATTTAATTTAGTGGAACCAAGCTGTTTTCATTGCATTTCTTTTTACAGTGATATTCTATTTGTGGCCACTGACCTTGAGTATGATTTTCTGTTGAAATACAGTTACATACAAAAGTGAATCCTTTAAAGCAAAGCAGTAAATAAACAGCAATACAAGCAGTGTGCAACATATGATGATGCTATTTTGCAAGTAAGAGGAAAATTGTTAAAGTTTATGTGTGTGAAGAGCCCAATTTTTAGAGATTCTATTAGGACCTGCATTCTGGGTTCTGGGATCTCCAAATAGGGGCCCACCCGAGATGTGTATTTTAGGTGGAGGAAACAGAATGTGCAGCGATGTGAAAATGGGTACTTGGGAGGGTGGGAAGCTCAGCATGGCAGTGATACGGGGTCCTAAAGTGATAAAGAGGAGTGCCTTCCAGGTGAGACTATGGACCCTGACCCCCGGGAGGAGAAGCCAGGGCAAATGTGTTGCAGGGAGGTCTCAACGGGTGAGGGTCTATCTGGTCGGACCCTGGCAGAGATAATGCCTTTTGGGTGTCCAGGTCCTTGGCTGTTCCCGTTGGGGTGCAGAGTCATGATCCAAAGTCAGAATTAGCCTGAGAAGAGAGAAAACCAGAAGGTTAACCCCTCTTTCAAAAAGGGGTCTGTCCTGGATGCCTTACTATATATGACCTAATTATATTCTGATACTGCAGATATCACCATAAATGGGTAAACATAAACCAGCTCTCCTGAAAATGTGTCCTGTGCTTCTAGATTTTAAAGTACCTCAAATACAAAATACAGTCTTCGTAAAGATTTAATATTTCTAAAAAAAATTTTTTTGTGCTAATGATACTATTAAAAGGACAAGGAAAAGGTGTTTTCTGCTTAAAAATACAGTTATTGGATATTTCTAGCTAAATTAAAAATAAAATATGGTTTCAAACTAGAAAAAAAAGGGTGTCTGGGTTCCAGGGTCGATCTTCCCATACAGGCCTCAGCAGCCAGCACTAATTGCTACTAAGGGAAGACACTCGAGCCTCCTTCCAAAGGGAAACTGAAGCCCGGAGCAGTTTAGGGACGTGGTCCAGGCGCTGCAAGGCATTGTGTGAGAGGCCTGAGAATCCCCAGCTCCTCTATTATCCTAGCCAGACCTCTCCCACCCTATCCATTTCCACAGTTCTGGGGAGATATCCTGCCAAGGTGGTGGAGGTGGAAAGTAATCTCTGAGCTAGGGCTCTGGAGGGACCCCTGCACCTTAGGAGTTGTACCTCTGACAGGATTTCGGCAATCGCGGCCACAGGCACCTGGGCAACACCGCTTCCCGCGTGGACAGTCAAAGTCACGGCTGCACAGGTGCTGCACGGGGCTGAGGCAGCGCAGTTGGTCCTTAGGGCAGCCACCTGGCTTTACTGCAACACAAGGGCCTGGCTAAGTTCTGCCTGTTCGTGTCAGCCGTGAGGCTGGGGGCTTAGGTTGTCAGCAGGGTGGAGGGGGCCACTTACCTAAGACCCTGGGGACACACTGGCGGAAACAAGCTTGGGAACAGCACTTCTTGCCTGAGGGACACTGTCTGTCGCCAGTGCACTGGTCAGGCACTGAGAGGCAGGGCTTGTCATCTGGTGGGCAGCCCCCATGTTTCTCTGTAAGAGAACTCCCACATGTTGAAGCCGGAAGCAGCTCAGTGTTGACCTGGGGAGCTCCCCGACCCCTCCCGGGGATGGCTTGAGATTCAGATGGTGTAAGGAACAGGAAAACAAATGAAACTCAGAATCCACAGTGGCTGGATGTGGTGGCACACACCCAGAATGCCAGACCTCAGGAGGCTGAGGCAAAGCTCAGTGATAGCCTGAATTACGTAGCGAGACCCTGTTTCAAAAAAAAAAAAAAAATTCTCCACTGTGGCCAATAAGGTTGTACCTGGATTGGCCTTTCCCATCTCTCTGCCCTCATCCTCCACCACTCTTGCCCCTGCCCCCACTTAGTGACTCCTAGTCTGCCCCACACCAGTCCTCCTTGCAGAGCTCCTGCCTTGGTGGCACTCTCTTTACCTGGTCAACTGAAACCTCACATCCTCAGAAGACCTTGCTCTCTGATCCCACATGAACTAGGTCAGCCCCACCCCACCGCTGGGAGCTCCCAAAGTATCTTTCTCTGTGGAGGTTTTGACCTCTCTTGGCCAGAGGCTATGAGACTTGTTACCCGTCTGCTCCACTCCTTGTGAGTTCCAGCATAGCACTTGATACATAATGATAAGGGGGTCCGTGACTATTTGCAATAAAGAGTTTTGAAAGGAGAGCCAGTGTTGGACATTGTCATCTGTTGCCAGTGTGATGCACAGTGGTACTCCTCACTGTTGCAAGTGTCAGGTTTCAGGAACAGGGATGAATTCTATCTGTGAGGCATTCCTCCAAATGGCTATAGAATGTTTCATCCTAAAGTTTATCTAAGCACTCTTCTTGTTGAGGTTTTGGAAGGAAGAAACGAAGGTCTGACAGTGGCAGTGACTGACCCAGACTCACATGGGCCTGGGATAGGATTCCCAAGGCCAGGCTCTCTCTGAACTCTGTGACTTGCTCTGACTGCTTTTGAGTGACAGGGATGGGACCAGTCCTGGCCCTGCTCCTGCACCTCAATACAGTATCAGAAAAAAGGTTCAGGAGCCCCCTTCAACAGCTGACCAAAGATTGTGTTGATATCCGTGTCACCTTTCCTCCTCTGCGTCTGCTGGGGCACTGACTGCACTGGGTGGGAAACCCCATGCTCACACAGTGAGTGCTCCAGCTCAGCTTCTGTCCTTAGGCTGGGCTAGTTTAAATTAAATTGCTGCCCCCTTCTGGAGAGAGGATGGCTTAGCCTGGTAAGGAGCCCCTGTTCTGATGAGCCTCTCTCTTGGTGGGAGATGTGGGAAATTCGGGAGAGTAGAGAGGGAGGTAAGGGGCTCATGGACAGTGTCATGGATCCAGGGTTTAACCCTGAGCTCACAAGCCTAGGCCAAGCGAGAAGAACTGCCTTCTTAACCTTTCCTTCACATCCAGGTTCCCCATTCAAAGGCAGCCATTCTGTGAACGACACAGTCATTTACAGAGACGGTCGTCCAGCCCAGATGCCACGGGTATGGACTCAGAGAGTGAGTAACTATCCCCAGCTGTGCTTAAATAGGTGCATACTATATACAGACACCTATGGGAAAGAAACCAGTGGAGAATGGGATGTAGTGAACTGGGAGAGAGACAAGGGTGTCCCGCCAGGCTACACAGGCGGATGGACCCTGAGCAGGCCCGGGCTCTGCCGGCCCTGACTCTTGTTCTGAGCAGCTGGATGAGGCATCAGGGCATACAGTCCTCTTTACCTCCAGCTCATTCCTCTGAATTGTCCAGGTACTGCACTTACTGTGTACCCAGCGCTTATTCAGGAAGGCGCAGTTTATTCCTGAGGGTCACGGGGACTCCATTTCACAGGGAGTATGTTGGTAAAGGGAGTGTTTCTAAAAGCTCTGTGCTCAGATGCCATCTTTGATATGAAGAGCCAATCTTCGGCCTTGGGCAAGTGATTTCCACTATCCCTTGGCCTCTTCATCTCAAAACATGGAGGTAAAAATCATGCCCACCCACCGCATTGCAGTGAGGAGTTGTGTGGTGACAGGGCACGAATCACACCAGCACAGACTCTGGCCTTGGAACCTAACAGCATCCTTCCTTCCTCAGGCTGAGAGCTTTGAGCACCCTCTTCTCCAAACCAGCTAACTCCCCAGGCAGGGACCTGTGCCTCTGAGGAAGGCATAATTTAGGTTACAGGGGCAGAAAGGGTGCAGAAACTTCTCCCTCGGGTCCTATAGAGGAGGGGAACCCGTCCTCATGGAGTCCTCTGCCCCTCACCGTGGGCCAGGGCTGCACAGGTGAACGTAGGCCAGAGCGTTCCAGCCCCAGAAGGGGAGGGAGGCAGTACCTCCCTTGATCAGGAGACACCTGTCTAGCTACTCCAGCACCCTCGCCTCCCTCACCTGTCAACAGGTCAGCCCTAGACTTCCAGTTGTGGGAACTGGTCAAGAGGAAGGGAACCGAGAAGAGAAGCAGAGACCGATTCTTTCCAACAGGTCCTAGATCTCAGGAGCCGCACTTCCTACTCAACTCCCAAATCTCTTTGCAGATGGGACTAGGACCACAGAAGGCCTGTGGAGCCACAACTCCATGAATATGACCACAGAATGGTAGGTATGGGCAGGTTCCCTCCTGCCATACTCAGAGGCAGAGACACTCATGGACACACAGGGCCAAGTACACAACCTGAGATCCACATGGATGCGGCCATTCCATGATTCATACAATCAGGCACAAAGGAAGAGAGACATGAGTGATCTTACACACAGTCAGATGCACAGCTAGGCACAGACAAGCACTAACAACAAGATTTACATACACACGTGTGGACAGGTACAGAGCTGCACACAAAAAATATGATCTCCTGGAAGCACTGAGTTGTGGTTTTGTAAAATGCATACACACACACACACACACACACACACACACACACACACACACAATCTGTCCTTCCTCAAACTCTTTACTCTCCTCAGAGGGATAGAAACCACACAGTCCCTGGAACAGAGGGGTTTGGCCGCACTCACCTCCCTTTCTCCTGCCAGAGACAGCAGGCACTTGGCTCCCCAAAGCCAGGAGGGCCGCCAGGAGGAGGAAGCTCTGGATCCTCATGTTTCTGCTGCCAACACCTAATAAGATCTCCAAATTAACATCTTCAGTCCTTGGAGGCCACAGGATCTGAGTCAGAGGACGAGGAAGAAGGGTGGATCGTGTGGCACTTGTGTGTCTCTTTCTGGCTCCACCTCAGGGCAAGATGCTTGTGCAAGAACTGACGACAGGGTGGCACAAGTCCTGCATGTTGGAGGACTTGGATCCAGTTCTGCCTGTGTTTCAACCAGCATGTGATGTTGGGCAAGTCTTGTCTCTCCTTGGGCTTCCATTTTTCTCATCTTTATGGTGAAAATAAAAGGAAAATCACAATGAAAGCATCCTTGAGAGGATTTTTAATGGACCTGGGAGGCCAGAAGGCAGCTGGACTTTACATCTCAAGGTGATCCAGGAAAATGAGCTTTGACTGCAGGCATCTGGAATGACCAAATTATACTGGGCCCAGAGACTCCTGATGCATAGCATGAGATTGTCAGCTTCTTATTTTATGGACATTTTTACCAACTATATGCATTCTTTATTATCTTCTTTGCTCAGTTAGTCCTCTGTAATAAATCATCACTGTTTGCCCATCCAAGTCCCCATGTTGTCTGTCTTCTTCAGAACACTGAATCTGAGTTCTCTGAACCTGTGTCTCTTGAACTGTAATTGTTTTGATTTTTTCTTTTTTTTTTTTTTTTTTTTTTTTTGTGGTTTTTCTCCGGTACCAGGAACCGAACTCACGACCTTGCGCTTGCTAGGCAGGCGCTTTTGCCGCTGAGCTAAATCCCCAGCCCCGATTTTTTCTTTTAAAGAGAAAAAAACCCACATAAAACAAATGTAATTGTAATTCTGAAGGCCCTCAGATAAATTCTTTTTACTTTTATAGCTTCTGAGTTTAAATTGACTGACAGTGTAGACCAGTGATGATGAGGCTTTTAGAGATCGGTGCCCAAACTGCAGCCCCAAAGCCACTTACTTATCCCAAAATGCCAACACTGCAATTAAAGCTGAACATAGAGGTGTTAGTTAAGAAAAAACAACTCATACATTAACATCTTCTGTCTTAAAACAAATGATACATGCAGCATAGTTTCACCACCCCCAGAGGGGGCAGACTGCATAAAAAAAAGGAATTGAGGAAGGACTGGCTGCTGGTTTGCCTTCATCTCAGAGATTTGGGACTTGGACTCTTCAGCAATGCTGCAGCTGTTAGGACTTTGGCAACTCTTGCAGATGGACTAAATGCCTTTTGCATAAAGGGATGTGCATGA